GCCTTCAGAACGTGGCCGTGGGCCACGTATTTCACTGCTATGGGTGATAACTTACATGCAACGGCTGCTTGAAAACTTAGTGACAGCCCTGGTTGCAAATCTACATGATAATAATATACTAAGTTGAAAAGGTAAAGGTTATCACATTTATTTTGTTGTAAAAGCGTATTGCAGAAAGACATTGTACGTGGAACTACAGGTAGACTGGTGTGGGTCCTAATTTCTAAGTAGTAGGGTAATTTGTAGTTTTTCCCTAGTGTACATATTCAACATGTATTGTAAATAGACGTATAGAGGCTTGTCACCATCTCTCAATGTCCAATCAGACTCAATCTGAGCAAAACTATTTATGCGACATTGCATGAAATTAATTATGTAACATGTTTATCCTTTTCTAACAGAGTATTTCTTATCTTTTTGAACTTGAAAATGTTGTCATCATGACTCCAAAATGTCATTTCCTTTTATCATTTATTTTTTACTTTATTGTAAATAGGTAAGGCTAATTATTTTTGTTTTGTTTGTATAAGGTATCAGACATAGATCAGCATGTAGAGAATTTGATGAAGAAAATTTCAAGTGGATCATTAACAACAAAAAAGGTCTGTGTATGCTAGGTATTTTTACAACTGAGTCTGACATTCCACTAGGAATTTTAAAATATTGTGTGGTTAAAAATCTCACTACAAAGCCTAAAAACTGTATTTTAAAAATTTGGGTACTGGCATTTCAGAACATGCTATCTGCACATGTATGTAACCTCGTGCCTAGATTGAAACAATATTCTTTGGTTGTTATTGCCAGTTTGTGACGTCATCATTTTCCAAAATTGAAAATTACTAATCCTACTGAAAATTTAGTTCGATCAAAATGTAAGAGTCTCTAATAACTTGCCGTTTTAAAACATTTAAGCTCGACAGCGTTCTTCATTTTTTAATAGAGCGCATTTGAATTTCCAAGTTTATGCATTGCATGACATCAAATGGCAGCCCCAGGAGGCTCTTGCATAGATCAAAAGATGAGTCATCGCGTAAGTTTTTGCAAACTGAACAGTTTTTGCTCTAGAAGAAGTATTAATTTCAATGTGTCCGAGCTCTAGTAAAGAGTAATAACTTTTCGTTTAAATGGTAAAACTCAATGACAGATGTTTCTGTTACTTAGCTGCCATGTTTGTGTCCCTCTGAGGGGCACCAATGTGACGCCTCTACACAAAGCTCTAAAATTTGTGTGAAACACTTCTCCAAATAATGTGGGAATGAAAACTTGCCTAGACCTCAATCTTAGGGAGATTGTTCATATAACAATCATCTATCATATCCCAGATTCTTGGGTTAATTTATTGAATGGTTGCGATTTTTATTTTTGATGGTATGACAGTACAAACCAGCAATAAAGAAAATGCTTGAAGACTGAATTGTACTGAATGTTTCTCAGATCTTTTTGTACTTATATTTAATTAACATATGTACATGTATGTCACTATATCTGAACTGACTTCATTCCATTTTGGGTACATTAGATTAGTACTTCACTTTATATTATACTGTATGCCCTGGGTATTTGTGATGAGTTCAAAGATTGCAGACTTGGACTACAATTAACAAATTAAGGAAGGCATTCATTTCTTAATCCTAAGCTTTTGTTATTCCCAAGATCTAGAAGTATTTTCTGTTGCTAATTTTTTAGCTTACACAATTATTAAATGTTAGA